GGCGATGGCAACGACAACCAGGGAGAGGGACTGCGTCAATGTTAACCAAAGCTATGATCTGAGCGAGTCGATGAACATGCGGCACCTACCATTCCCAACACGGTGATCAAAAGCATTGATCGTCTTCCAAAGCGGTCGATGAAGGCGAAGTTCGGGAATCCAAATACAAAATTCGTCGCTCCAACGACGATGGAGACGGCCGTGGCCTGGTTGAAGCCAACCAGGGAGAACAGTGTGGCGGAATAGTACATCAGCGTGTTGAATCCCCCTAGTTGTGATACTGGATAATATCAGTATCCATGATCAAAACACGAGAAGATAACGGGGGTTTACCAGCCATGATAGAGCAGGCGGTGGCCAGGGCTCGCAGGTTAGCGCCTACAGTGAAGAGCTGTTTCATCTGCCACCATAGGCTCTTGTCTGATACGGAGGCAGCAACCTCTTCAATAGAATGCCGAACCACCCTGATTTTGTTGACCACTTGCTGTTCCGTGGCTTGAGGAAAGATCTTTCGGATTACTCTCTTGGCTTCATCGTCACGGCCATGGGAAATCAGCTGGCGAGGTGTTTCTGGGCACAAGGGCATTGTAGCCGCCAGAGCAATAGCAGGAACAGCACCAATGGCAATTGTGTATCGCCAGCCTTGATGTACGTCAGTGAACGCGGCCCCGAGGGCATAGGCAATGAGCTGGCCAAAGGTCACACAAATGTTATCGAACACAATCAGTCGACCACGGAATCTGGCAGGCGCCATCTCTCCGATATACAAGGGAACGATCATTGCCGCTTCACCCACTCCAAAACCAACCACCAGTCGACCAACCACCATCTGGGCCAGTGAGAACGCCGTGGCTTGCAAGGCGGTTCCCACGAAGAAGACCGCACAGCCCACATAGATTGCTAGTTTCCGTCCATACTTGTCTGAAGTCATGCCAGCCAGAACGGCGCCGATCAATGCACCCCCTGAAGTTATGGAGGTGATGAGTTCCTGGTCATTAGAGGACAGAGCTTGGCCGAGGTCGGTTCCAAGGCTAACGAGGACGGCGGATATTACGCCTGTGTCGTACCCTGGACGAGTGAGGAGAAAGAACCATGTCAGCTGGGACTGTCTATGGGCAAAGTGGTTCTGATGGGCCATGAAACGCTAACGGCCTGGGTCATGCCTACCAAAGAGAAACCCGCCCATGGACACCGTGCACGCAATCAGCCATACAGCCTTGCCAGGATTCGTCGTCTCAATTGAATCGTCCAAGCCCTCCGCGGCGCCAGCGTTGTCATCGTGGAAAGTCTCTGGTTTCAGATCGTCGATGGCCGGCAAATAGTCGTCTGCAGGATCCATGATGGTCTGGATTAGGGCTATGGGAAGTAACCAAAATCTAAACAATGAAACAGTATGCTTAAGAAGATACAGGTTATGGATGAAGTGTTAATTAGATTACACCCGTGCAATGACCACAGAAGCCCGGCCGACGTGGCTAAAGACTGAGTGGAAGAATTATCTACGATGACAGCGGGCATATATGCAAAGGGAAATACTATTGCCGAAAAGCGACCCCCATCTCCATCATCCCTCTCGAGGAGGGGGTATATGCCTGCCCCCTCATCCCCATGGCGAACTAAAGACTCGAAGATGGGGGGAATGGAATGTCCGGATATTGCCTCAGGGTTCGGCACGGTTCCATGGGTCTGTTCAAGATGACAGCCGTATCCCCAGGTTACCCCAGACTTGCCTGGACCCGGATATCTGCGTCTCTTCATTGGCTGATCTGCACATCTCGGGGGATGTCCTCAAATACCGTCAACTCCGCTATTATGACGATAAGTACCGGGGAGCTATTTGCACAATAGCCGGGGCATGGGGCTCCTGTCAAAGCCTGTGGGTCCAGCTGATCCTCGCGAATTGATTCCATCGCATTTGCGACCGGCAAACGCGCGAGGATTATTACTCTGTCGGTGGTGGCGGGGCACAAAAGGGAAATTCTCTCCGTCCTGGCTGGATGACCCTGAATGGTAGTTTTATCCGGCGTCATGCTGGAATGACATGGCAGCTGTTACACCAGCCAGGGACTCACGATGTCGTGGGCATGGTGGAATGCTGGGGGAGTCGGTTTCTGCGGTTCACGAGGATGGGTTAGTTCATCCATCCATCCATCCATTCCCTTCTCCTCCCGGTTTACCTGGGGTTATAAGTAGCTGCTCTCCGGACCAGAGAGCTTGCTGGTAGCAACCAGGAACCTTTGATATTTGAACCTTGTTCATCATTGACATTCAATTACTCGATCTACTGTGTTTCTCTTGTCCGGCTCTATCGTGACGCCCCCAAAGAGCAACCATGTGGTCACTTTTCACAATCGCCCCTTACGCGTTCTTTATCGGGATCGTGGGGATCTCCTACTTCCTGGTATGGCCGTTTGTGCAGTATATCAGAGACCCCAAAGGTATGTTTATACTTGTGTATATGGCAGGCTATCCACAGAATCCAGGTACTGACTAGCGACTGTTCCAGGTCTCCGAAAATACCCTAATCTTACACCAATCTCCGGCATGTCTGCCATTCCGTTCATGCTCATGGCGTCCCGCGGGTTCCGGTCGCGAGAACTGCAGGAGCTGCACCAGGAGAAGCCGGTAATCCGTACCGGACCCAATACGCTCTCCTATGGTGATGTGCGCGCGATCAAGGACATTTACGGCCATAACACCAAGTGCATCAAGGACCCATCCTACATCGTCACGGCGGGCACGCATTACCACTTAGCCGATGTGGTGGACAAGGGGGACCATGCGCGGAAGCGTAAGGTTCTGTCATCCGCCTACGCTCTTAAGAACCTTGAAACATGGGAGCACAAAGTCAGCGACAAGGTTGAGAAGGTGGTGGCCCACTTTGACAAGGTGTGCACGGCCGCTCCGTCTGCGGCTGTGGCGTCCGGCAAAGTCGCGCCGGACCCCAAAGACCTGACCGTGGATTTCCGCGCCTGGACCAACTACTTCACGCTGGATGCTATCGCTGATATCGGTCTGTCGGAGAAGCTGGGCTTCTTGGACCAGGGCAGCGATGTCTGCATAGCTGAGCGGAAGGATGGGTCAACGTACACTGTGAATCTCCGGGAGGCACTGTATCCCACGGCCCGGAAGCAGTCGCTTATCCTCTGGAACTACGAATGGTACCCGGTGCTGAACAAGCTGGTCAACGTGATCCCGTTCTTCGGCCGGATGCAAAAATCCTCGGACAATTGGGACAACATTGTGTGGCGACGCAGCATCGAGCGCCTGCGACGGTATGAGGCTGGGGAGAAGCTCGATGACTTCTTCCAGGCGCTGATGGAGGATAAGAACGGCCGGGCCAACAACCTGGAATGGGGCGACGTGGTGTCGGAAGTGAACATCATGATGAACGCAGGCAGCGTAACGACGGCGATCGCGATCGCCAACGTGATGTACCAGCTGCTGCGGAATCCGGAGTGCCTGGCTAAGCTCCGGGAAGAGATCGACGCAGTGCTAGACGCGGACGATGTCGTTGCGCCATACGACAAGGTGAAGCACTTGCCGTATCTTCGGGCATGCCTGGACGAATCACTCCGGATCTTCCCGCCAACGTCGCACGGGCTTCCGCGCGAAACGCCGGAAGAGGGGATGGAGATCCTGGGCCAGTGGGTGCCGGGGAAGACAACGGTCAGTATGTCGGCCTATGTTGCGCACCGCGACGAGCGGGCTTTCCCCAAGGCGGACCAGTACATCCCGGAGCGGTGGTTGGGAGAAGAAGGCAAAGCGCTGCAGCCGTACTTTGTGGCGTTCTCGGCGGGGGCACGGTCCTGTATCGGGCGGAACATCTCGTACTTGGAGCAGACGAAGATCCTGGCGTCGCTGGTGCATCGGTATGAGTTTGCACTGCCGCACCCCGGGTGGGAGCTGAAGCGACTGGAGACGATGAACTTGATTCTGGGAGATATGCCGGTGAAGGTGTGGCGACGGCAGGTGCCGGCCACCGATTAGGAAAATTTTTCTTCATATTCATCTTGTTCCTAGACAGGCTAGACTTTTTTTTTGTTCTCTCCTCTTTCTCTTCCCTTCTTCGTGATGAATGATGAAAACAATGGTAGCGATATTGCACTAATTCCTTGGTGCTGGATGGTATAGTCCGTAGTTTCTCACTAGTTTCCTTGGTAGACACTCAATCCGGTAGACACTCAATTAGCTAGCCATGCATATCAAGCATGTAACTACGTCGAGATAGTCTCACGAGGGATCGTCGTGGGACCCCGAGGTGTCCGGCCAGACTGGTCCGGAACCATCGGAGCGAGACCGATGCGTCCGTTCCGTGGGGGAAAGCTATGCAGCATGCTACATCCCTTTCATCTTTAGTATAGTATAACGAAAGAGGAAAGGGATCTAACGCCCCGAAAGCCGACTGGGGTAGAAAGTGGAAAACGTGCGGGGGATAGATTGATAATAGTTAAGATTGATTGCTTTTTTGGTCTGTGCTGTGCGGGGGGGAGGGTTTGAAGATGGAGAGGGAAAGAAGTAAAGGGACCGCGGGGAAAAGTAGCTGGATCGGGTATATTGGGACCGAGAGGGAGGTTAAATTGGGCTAAACTAATCCGTATTGGATAATGGATGAGGCGAAGACATGCAGAAAGTTGGATGGGCGAAATGGACAAAGGTGCCGCCTGCCCCCAAATGGGGTAATTTTCCCCTCGGGGAACATTGCCGCTTCTTTCTCCATCTTCTTTCTCTTCTTTGGGATCCCCAACTTTCTGCTTCTGTGTCTGCATCTGCTTCTTGCTCAGGTTTACTGCTTCTCTTGCCTCGTGTCTCTTGCCTTGCGCCGCTCTTATCTCCACCATGTCGGTCATTGGCGCCAATTCATCCATCGGAAATCATGGTGTCACGGCCTCTCATGGATCGATTTATAGATCCAGCAGCTGCCCTTTCGTCTTCTACTAACCTCCAAACTACAGAGTGGCTGGTTCTGCTCAGTGCACTTCATCCTCATCCTCATCATCATGACCTCCCCTCTGTCTCCATGGCAGATATCACCAGCCCTCTGGCAGGAGCTGACCAAAGTCCTCACTCCCACTGGAGCCGCCGACTATGCCGCCCTGACTCTCCTTGCCATGGCCGGCACGACCTACCTGTCGCGCGGCATCCTCTGGGACCAGCCAGACCCCTACAACTACCTCTGGTATGAACGTCCCCAGCTGAAGATGGCCGGTTCCGCCGGCCCCAATGCCCACCAGGAGACCCGCAACATTGCCCAGAAGCTCGAAGAGGCGGACAAGAACATCGTCGTCTTCTGGGGATCGCAGTCCGGTACGGCCGAGGGCTTTGCCCATCGCTTGGCGCGTGAAATTGCCCTCCGCTTCCGTCAGGGTACCCTGACGGCGGATCTGTCGGATTATGACCCGGAGAGTATCTCTCAGATACCTCAGTCCAAGCTGGCGATCTTCATTCTGTCTACCTATGGCGAAGGAGATCCCAGTGATAATACGGCTGAGTTCTGGGATTGGATTCACAAGGCGGAAAATGTCTCGCTGGCCAATGTGAGGTATTGTGCGTTTGGCCTGGGGAATAGCAACTACAAGTTCTACAACCGCGTCGTGGACGTCGTCGTTCAGGCGCTGGATGGTCGAGGCGCAAAGGCCCTCATGCCCGTTGGTAGGGCTAATGATGCCGAGGGAGCCACACAAGAGGACTTTATCAGCTGGAAGGACGAGCTGTTTGCCATGTTCAAGTCCCAGCTCGGCTTCGAGGAGGGTGAGATGCAGTACTTGCCCACCCTATCCGTCGAGGAAGACGAGTCCCTGGAGCCTATTGACCTGAACCACGGCGAGCCAGATGCCCGTGATGCTAGCAGGGCATCTGCACAATGCTCCCCCGTGCGGCCAGTGACTATCTCCAGTACCCGTGAGCTCTTCCAGGTCTCAGACCGCCACTGTCTACACATGGAGTTGGACCTGTCCAGTGTCCCCGAGTTCACCTACAAGACGGGCGATCATCTTGCCATCTGGCCTAGCAACCCGACGCAGAGGTCGAGCGTCTCCTCCAGGTACTGGGCCTTACGGCACGCCGCGAGGTGCCCATCTCCATCAAATCCCTCGACCCGGCCACGAAAGTGCGCATCCCCACCCCCACGACCGCGGCAGCCCTCTTCCGATACTACCTGGAGATCTGTGCCCCTGTGAACCGCGACACTGTTCTCAGTCTAGCACAATTCGCACCCACCCCCGAAGCAAAGGCCTACCTCCTCCAACTCGGCCAAGACAAAACCAGCTACGCCAACCTCCTCAACTGCACGCACGTCACCCTCAGTCGTCTCCTCCAACTCGCCTCCCCAGACAACGCCTGGTCCGCCCTACCCCTATCCTACCTGGTCGAGACCCTCTCCCCCATCCAACCCCGATACTACTCCATCTCCTCCAGCAGCGTGCTCTCCCCCCGCAAACCCTCCATCACCGCCATCGTCTCAACCACCCCTATCCCCGAAAACCCAGACGAACTCATCCACGGCATCACCTCGAACTACCTCCTCGCCTTATCCCAACACCGCACCTCCCCATTCACCCCCCACCCATACGGCCTAACCTACCACCTCAACGGACCCAGCAACGCCCTCAACAGCGAAAAGGTCTTCGCGCACCTCCGCAAAAGTAAATTCAAACTGCCCCGCACAGGAAACACCCCCCTCATCATGATCGCCGCAGGCACGGGCCTAGCCCCGTTCCGGGCCTTCATCTCCGAACGTCGCCAACTGCAGCAGATTGGTCGCGAAGTGGGACAGATGATTCTCTTCTTTGGGTGTCGGCGTCCAGACGAGGATTATATCTATAAGGAGGAGTTGGAGGCGTTGAATGAGGGGTTGGGTGGGAAGTTGCGCATTGAGACGGCGTTCTCGAGGTATGAAAATGGGGGAGTGAAGAGACAGTATGTGCAGGATAAGATTGTGGAGTGTGGGGATGAGGTGGTGAGGTTGTTGGTGGAGGAGAGGGCCAACTTGTATATTTGTGGGAGAGCGGGGATGGCGAGAGAGGTGGAGAAGAGGGTTGGTGGGGAGATGTGTAGGGTTAAGGGGTGGGAGGAGGGTGATGGGCAGTGGAATGAGTGGTGTAAGGGGTTGAAGAAGAGGGGAAAGTGGCAGGAGGATGTTTGGGGGTGATCAAACACTTCAATCTTTCTTTTTCTTCAATGATATCGTTATGTCATTTGGTTATGAACAAAGTCTTTTGGTTTTATGTTGGAGTTAGAGTTTATATCCATCTATCGAATTTCATATCATATACATTCATCTTCTCATCCCATCCTCCTTCTTATTTTCACCACCATCCAGTCCTTATACATACATACACGCATTTCATTCATCCATACAAACCCAACCCATTTCAAATCAATTCAACCCAACCATAAACCCAATACAATCAATCCCAATTGTCCAATCCTAGTCTAGTAGTCCAGAGGCAAGACAAGCAAACAAGCATCGTCCAGAAAGCTAAACCCAAAGCACACATACATACATACCAACCCACCAAGCAATCCAAACCCAACCAAAGACAAATAATCAGGGTAGGCAGACGACTACTTCCTCACCTGAGCAAAGATCATCTGCCACAGACCCAGCCATTGCTGCTGTTTATACGACGGCACGCGGTGCGGCTCACGGAACGTATTTTGTAGGATCTCGCGCAGTCTCGCGCTAAGGGTCTTCAACGCGAGCATGGATTTCCAATCGCGTAGGGAGAAGCGGATGCGGTTGGAGTCGATGGATATGACGCCGGAGTACATCTGCTCCCAATTTTCAATGTTATTAGTATTGATCTCAAATTGTCAGGAGGTATTGGGGTACCTTAAACTCAGCCTCTCCGCACAACAACGCAATAGCGAAATCATCCACAGCGGTCGTTTCAAACGCATTATAATTCTTATTCCGCCCCTGCATGATATGGTAATAAGACACCCATTTTATGGCCGATGCGTCGGCTTGCTTGTTCACCGAGGTGGGGTGCAGTGTGACAGCTTGGTTGTTGGCGACGTTGCGCCAGCCTTTGCCGTCACGGGTGAGCAGTTTCGGGTAGAAACTCCAGGCAATTACAGAGTTGACTATGGTATCGTTGGCGCTGTTGAAGTCGTATTCTTCTGGGATGGTGAAGAAGTTGCGTCGGTTGTTGGATCGGGAACTGTGTTTTTGGATAATTGTTAGTAGGGGTTTTGGGCATGATGGGGATGGGGAGAGGATACCGGTTGAGGAGTGCTTTCTGGGATGGGTCCAGCGTTAATAGCCCTGTGTCGGCAATTGATACAATCAGCTGCATTTTTATGTCCTCGATATTAAGCAGTGTTTGCGAGCTGAGGAAGTTCTTGCGGCAGAAAGCGTATTCGCTCACGCCGGGTGTGTTGCGGGCGCGCTTCCACGCGCAGTAGGCGTTATATACCGTCAGCAGGTCAGAGTCGCCTGAATTTTGTTAGTGATAAGTAGAAAACAGTAATTGGGAAGTACCTACCCTTGCGGAAGGACAGTCGAGCAATGTCCTTTTGGGTGTTGGAGCCCATTGTGTTCACAAATGGCGACTTTGAAGACAGAATAGCGGCGATGCTGACGGCCGCGTCCAAACAGCGGAAGAATGCGCCGTGGATGATCAACTTTCCAAGGAAAACGTCCAGCGGCAGCTTAGCCAGCTGCAGACCCAGAGGGGTCAGATTCTCCGCGTTTGTTAGGGCCTTCACCTCCTTCAGCGAATCGATGGCCCGGCGAATGTTCTTGGATGACGGCGGGTCGAGCGCCTCCAGCAGCGTCGGTTCCACTTCACCCAGCTTGCAGATCTTGACACGCAGCACAAGATCTTGGAGAGACAATCGGAGCATCTCGGGCGTCTGCTGTTCTGCGAGCTACAACTAGTCAGTATCAAATGTTGCAGCCATGGTCGCTACACATACCAGTTTATCGTGGCGATGCTTCGTAAACAGGTGGAAGCAGATACCATTCTGCACACGACCAGCTCGTCCACGTCGTTGCTTCGCATTAGCGCGCGAAATAAACGTTTCGACGAGCCTAGATAGCTGACGGCGTTCATCAAACCTGGGCAAGTTAGCTACTTCATCACTCAATCACGTTCTCCTCTACTAACCTCATGCTCTTCTCTTTGCCCGCATCAATCACCGCAGTAATATCCGGGATGGTGATACCTGTCTCTGCAATATTGGTGGCAATTACAATCTTTCTCATACCCTCAGGAGGAACTACAAAAGCCTTCTCCTGATCTTCGCTAGCGATAGATGAATGCAGCGCATGCACAATCCATCCCTGCTGGAAAGTCGGGTCCGACAGGATCTCATCGTTCAGCCGACGAATCTCCGCCATACCGGGCATGAAGATAAGGATGGCCTTGCTGTAGTGTGTCATGTCAGGCGACGAAGCGATCTGCACAACCAGCCGCTTGATGAGCTGGTAGTCCAGGCGATATTCGTCAAAATTTGCCACGGTCTCCTTGGTTTGCTTAGAATATCCATCAAGCGAAGTCATCAGGCTGCCGGCAGTGTCGCCCTGCGCCGTCTCCAGCGCCAATTCGTCCGTCTCCTCCTCCACAGCGTTGGATTCATTCTCCAGCAACCGGTAGTTGGTCATCTCGATGGCATCCTCTAGAAACTTCATTTCCACAGGGAAAGTCCGACCTGGGATATTCAGTACCGGAACACCGCCAAGATAGGTGGAGAAGCGCTGCGCCTCGAGTGTGGCCGACATCAGAATTAGCTTCAGATCGGGCCTCTTTTGCATCAACCGCCGAAGAACGATGAGGAGGAAGTCGCTATCAATCGAGCGTTCGTGGACCTCATCGAGAACAACATGAGTAATATCGCGGAAGTCGTCAGGGCGCTCAAGCATTCGCACCACCACTCCGGTAGTCCTGCCAGGGTCAGCTCGTTCCCAAGTTCACAAGGGTGAGAACATACGCGAATACAAGCCTCGTGGCTTGGCTGACTTTACTCTCCAATCGGACAGCAAAGCCAATGAGCGAGCGCGCCGTTCCCACATCGTTCTTATTCTCGCCTAGTTCTTCGCTCACTCTTCGGGCAAGGGAAATGGCCGAGATCCTGCGAGGCTCGGTCACATAGATCTTGCACGGTCGGCCTTGCTTCATTTCATGCTCCAAAATAAACGAAGGTATCTGCGTACTTTTTCCGCTTCCTGTTTCACTGCAGATGATAAGTGCACGATGTGTGTCAAGAGTATTGAGAATCTCGTCGCGGAAATTCCAGATGGGCAGGTTCATCCTGCCCTGAGCCATGTACTGGAATGAGGCCGTAGACGACTTTTCTGTCCAGATCCGACTCAACTCCTCGTCAGCCTCAGAACTGTCCTTTACGCTGGCTCCCCGTACTGGGGATTCCGGCTTGCTAGAAGTTCCGTTTCGCTTCCGGAAGTTATGCGACAAGACAACATCATCTTCAAAGGCCCCATGGTTATCCTGTATGAGGTTCTTCAGATCTTTGACGGTCTGCTTGTCAGCTTCGTCTTCCTGCAACTTCTTCGCATTCGCAAACTCCGTCCAAAGCTCTCGCCACACCGCTGGAAGGCGCAGGTATGCTTTTCCTTCTTTGGAGTTCTGCGGGAATAGGATGAAAAGAGCAAGAGTGGAAACGAAGGATTCCGCTTGCTGAGAGTTTGGAGTCGCCACCGAGTCCATCGAGACGAATGTCGCGTAAGCGTTCGAGTTATGTGTGGTAGTGTCCCAGACAAAAGGGAAGGGAACCTCTTGAGGTTTGGACCATCTTACTTCAAGAGCTTGTCTGTTCGAATGCGACGAAGCGGACATGTCCTTGAACGTGATCTTGCAACCCGTGTCCCTACCCAGATGACTTAGTTGTCGATCATCCCCAGCTTAACTGCGAGACATACCTTGCTTTGCACGTTTCTTCTAGCACTCGCCGGGGGCTAAGTCCAGTCCATTTTCCGAATTCGCGCACTTTGACAGATGCCTTTTTTAATTCCTCCGTTATCACACCGAGTTCCAGGACAGGTTCCTCATCTTGGAACATGTCGCCTAACAAGTCTGTAGCCTCTTCATTGTCAAGCGGCTGTGCGCCATTCTCCGGTTTCGTTTCCGTTTCCTCTGGTTGCTCTGCATTTTGAGCTTCCTCTTGAACAGGCTTCTCTTCAGGCTGTGAGCGCCGGACAAAGGCCGCCTCTTTGCGTAGATCGTCAAGTTTCTCTCTCCACTTGTATTCGGCCTCATGCTGGTCAAACAGCACATCATTTTCAATGCTAGTAATTTTGCGTTGCAACCTCACGACCTGAGGGTCTTGCTCGGCTTCAGCAGGCTTACGGCCTCCCTTCTTGCCCTTCTTGGGTTGGTCGAATAGCTCCGGTCGCAGGCCATACAGGCGAGTCTGGAGGTCCAGATACTTTGGAATGAGCGTGTCAGGGTCAAGGGAGCTGTCCGAGTCGTAGGGGCTCGATTGGAGGGCAGGGCTCGGCTCCTTTACAGGGCTTTTGGGCTTTTTCACTTTGCTATTATTTGGGCCCGAACTTGGGGTGGAGGATTGTGATGGCTCACGATCTGATGTCAGTCAGGTTAGCCATCCAATCCTTACGGGATACCAGGCACCTAAGATTACCATTTATCCAAGATATATGTCTATCCAACTCATTGCGCTGCTGCGCATTTGTCTGCATGTAAGAAGGCAATTCCTTGGGGGTGCAATGCAAGGCGAGCCAGTCTAGAGCCTCATCCAGGTTGCAAACCACCTCCCTATTGGATGTGGCAAAATTACCAGAAAAGTAGAGAAGCATATGCTTCAGAGCCTCGTTTACTTTTTCTTCCGGGAAGCCGAGTTTAAGCAGGGTTTCCTTCAGGGTCCAGAGTCTCATATATAGTTCTTCCTCCGAGACAGTTTTCTTCTGACCTCCCGAATCCCGTCCGGGTAATGGACTGAGCTCTCGCTCTTCCGTCTCAACCAGGTGCATGATATTCTGTAGCACCTCGGTGGGAAGCCACTCCATCAGGTTTATAGAAACGGCTTGTTGCCGGAATACTCTGCGTTCAGTCTCCAACTTGGTGACTTGGCGGGCGGCATCACTTCTGCACTTAGAAGCATATTTCTCAACCAAGAGTTGAAGTTCAGCTTCCTCCAAGTGTTTCTCGAGTTCTTCGGGAGTATAATTCT